TTGTTTGTATGTATTGTAATATTTCTTATATTTGTTAGAATTATATTATTTTTAATTCTCATTTAGTAAGCACACATTTAACTGTTTGTATACACTATCATAAATTGGCTTTGGTTACTGGGACTTTTGAGTCTCATTATGTGGTTAACAATTTTCAGGAGAAGAGCCACGAGTGACACGTGGAGGAGTCCCAGAGGCTTGGTGGTATAGATCCACTGTCTCTTTTGGGTATTTAATTTATGATTTATAATGTGTTATATTGCCAATATTAGGGCTTTTTGTTTATTGTCAATTATATGAATATATAAATGTAATCATGCCTTTCAAACTATTTCTATTTTTAGTACAATTTGGATTACTGTAATTTTAATATTTGGTTTACTTTGGATTGATTAAAATGGCATGATTATAAGGTCAAATAACTGGCTTGTGTTGAAAATTAACTAAATTGCTTATTTTACTTGTTGGGAGTATAAGGATGGACAAATGTGATTTAGCCTAATGGCATGTGGGAGGTAAAAATTTATCTGAAATGTTATAGTGTGTGAATTGAAGCCAATTATAAAATATTTTATATTGAAATTATTGATATAAAAATGTGTTGGGTGGCTGTAACTCAACTATGGTTGAGTTAAATTATTTAAAAAAAAATTTGTGTGTTACAAATAATGTATTCATATTTTTATCTATCATTACCTATAGAGATAAAGAGAGATAAATAAGAATAATTGATGTTGAAGTAAAGATTTGTTTTATTACGTGGAAAGACAACATGAGCAGCCAAGTGTAAGAAGTGACAAATGCAAAGTAAAAATATTAAGGTAAGGGGTTAAAACTATAATTTTTTTTGTTTTAAATATCATGCCTTGTTACATATGGTACAAAAATTTTAAAAAAATTTGGGGGGCCATAACCCCATCCAAGCATTACCTAGGTTTGTAGTCGCGCGCGCGTAACATCTAAAAAATTTAATCATGATTAATTAATTTAATGAGTGTTATTAGTGAATCGATGAAGTGTGTGGTCAAAAAGGATATAGTTAGTGTATTTGACTTTGATTTTAGCCTAAAATATGCGTCTGAATTGATGGTCAAGGAAAGACGAGGAAAAAGTAATGAATTGCTCTCTGTGTCATGTGCCACAACGTGTGGGCAATCCACCGCTACGCACAAAGGCAAATTAGCATGGATTGAACCTCGCCACAACACATAGCTAAAAATCTAATTTTATTAGTTTGCATTTTAAGTGCTAAATTAGAAGTGGAGGAAAGAGAAAATGCAAGGGCACATCTAAGGCTTTGCTAGAGCATAACATTGGTTCCTATTGGTGATATTTAAAGGCTCTCAAACACTTAAGGTGAGTAGTTCATGCTTTTATCTTCCCTTCTCTACCATATATACGAAGAGTAAACTTAAGGTTTAAGCATTAATAGTGGTTTTCAATCCATGGGAGTTATGGGTCTAAGCCCATTGGTTAAAATATATATAATGGGAGTTATTTGAGATAATTAAACCTTACATTGATGATTTTATCAAGAGTTAGCTTGGAGGAGTTATTTTCATGCGAATTTTGCAATTAATATGGTTGTTGGGAGAGTTTAATACTCATTAATGATGGTTAGATAACTTATTAATGATAATGTGGGTCAATGAAATCTAATGAACCTAATGGATATGAATGGGTAATGAATTATTGGATTGATTAAATAGAGAATGTGGAGTTATGGTATTTGAATTGTTACAAATGGGATAATGATGATATCATTGTTATATAAATTGTAGATAAATTCATTTTCGGCACCATTATAGCTTGTGGAACCTTTGGAAGTTGGTATTGTGAGAGGCAAATTTTTGACCTCTTAAAGGTTTAAGATAACCAAGGAAAATTTAATTTATATAGTTGAATATTAATTGATTAGTTGTTAAAAATGGGTTGATTTGAATCATGATTTATATTTTGAACTATTGATGCAATTTTGGCAAATGTTGAACTTATGAAGTTGTGGAATGATTTTAAAAATGAAACCCTTATGCATGCTATCTATGAGTGATTGTTGTTTTCGATTGATGGCAAGTTGTAAAAATTGCTAAAATGTGATGCAATATATGGAGCAGCATGGAGTATATGAGTATGGGCATGTGAGTTTATATGACATGAATTGATCGATTTGAACGCACAAACATGTAAGTTGTGCGCAGCACGATTATTGGTGGGAGTTTTCTTAAGGAGAGGAGTAGATGATTAAATTTATGTAGTATTGGTAGTAACCGTTGGAATCAAAAACTTGTCTTGGCACCGACTGTTGGAATCAAGAGATCACTCTTGTCTCATAATTGATTTAGGACTATCCCACTTATTCTATAAAAGACTCAAACATTATTAATCTTCACTAGTTCATGAGGAGGTTAGATTAGAGGTACAATACCTCATAGTTATTAATATCAGGGGAAGCTTGATTATACAAGTGAATGAGTTGACCCTGACTAGTAGCTCCTCACAAGTGAAAGATTGGGTTGATCCATGAAGGACGTAGTCACCGAATAGCCACCGATTTTATGTCAAAGGCAATGGAAGGGCATAAGATTGACATTTGATTATGTATATAAATCTGGCCACATCGTCGTTAGTATTATGGTCTGGCATGTGTTAGGGGCGCTTGGTTGGTATTATTGCGACCCCATGATGTGCTTTGTCATTTATGTGGTTATATGTATATTAAGTTCGGTCATATGATTGTTAGTATTGTGAACCATGGCTATATTCATTATATGTGCTATATCGTGAGATTTTGTCTATCTACATCTATTTTAAATTGATATATAACTATATAAATTAGGTGAAATTTACTTACTGAATGGTTGTACTTATCTCTTAATTCTCAATATTTTTAAGGGCCTAGCTCATCAGATCCGGTTAGGGGAAAGCATGCGGAGGTGTAAGGTTGTGGTGAAAATCCTACTTATGCCTCTCTACTTTATTTATGTGTATTTATTTTGTAAAATATCAAATTAAATCACATGTCATTATTTTGAGCTACTTGCATTAGTTTTGTGTCTCGCTTATGTATTTTGTGTCCTAAGTTAATGAGTTTTAGTTGTAAAACTTTAGATAGGGCTAAAATATTCGTACAAATAGCAACATATGTATTTGGATTGATTTAGAATGAAAAGAAATGATTTGTGCAAGAATTTCCCCCTTATGTTTTATGTATATTGGGGTTGAATGGTTTGTGCAGTTTGATTACACTAGAAATAGTTTCAGGTTTACTTTTTCAAATCATTTTCCTTATATTCCACAATTAAACTTTAAGTTTATTTTCAATTCACAAGTTGTAATTACTTTGGATAGGACTAAAATATTTGTACAAAATAGCAGTATATGTATTTTGATTGACTTGGAATGAAAAACAATGATTTGTGCAAGAATTTCCCCCTTTATGTTTTATGCATATTAGAGTTGAATGATTTGTGCAGTTTGATTACACTAGAAATAGTTTAGGCTTACTTTTCCAAATCATTTACCTTATGTTCCACAATTAAACTTAAGTTTATTTTCAATTCACAAGTTGTAATTACTGCAATTTTGTACTTTGTTTTTCATTAATCAAAAACATCCTTTACAACAATTTATTTGCATTTTCAGATTCAGGTGAACTGAGATAAAAGAGCTCGAAGATCCTATATTCATAATTAAAACTCCACATTTCTAACACGTTTGATTTTTATCATCTAAATGCAACATCTAATTTGTGAAAAACAATAAGCGTGTGTGTATTCAAGTGACTTTTCTTATAGGTTTTAAAATTACTTGCAATTAACTCTCTGTCCTGAATGAAGTTTATATTATAATCAATCCATTATAATAAAATTATAATATTTTGCTGCTGTTTACTTCCGATAGGATTCTTGTAGACGTTTTTCTTCCAGATTGTGGCTTTTAGTTTTTTACGCTACACAGTAACATTTGGCTTCAAAAATCATACATTATGAAATTATTTTTAATTAAGTACTGTTTAATATTTTTTATCTATATTAGTTAAAAAGTGTTTTATAACCAGAAATACTGGTGGGTAAAAAAAACGTGAAATATTTATTGGTAGTATTTAAAAAAATGGGCGAACCAAAACCAGTGTTTGGTAATTTCACTACTCAGTCCCTAAGCATTGAAGTGTGTACTTGACTCGAGTTGTGGCATCGCTCATGAAGCAAAGGAGTGAGCTGGCATAGTAGACTTAGTGCCTGTTTGCATCTGTATCTATAATCAATTATTCGGACCCTAACCATTTTGATAAAAAAACACCTAACACCCCCATTTTTTCATAATCAAGTATTTGAATGAAAACCACGTTTTTTCTCAAGCAGGCTTGTGTCCTCCCTGTGCTAGGCTTACAAAAAAAATTTCCAGCACAAAAAAATGATTGAATGTGTTGTTTAAGGAATCAACACAATTTTTTTATTGTTGAAAAAAATACACATTTTTTTATAAATAATTTACTTAACTAATTTTTTAATAATATTTATCAAAGTATTTTTTTTACTTGTCAATATAAATAGTTAAATATTAAAAAATTACATAATAAATGTTTTGTATTCGACTAAAAAATACTTAATATTAATATTAATATAATTTTAATTTTTATAATTAATCAAGTATAAAGTTTAAATAATATATTTCACTTGTTAAATAAAGTTGAATAAATTTAATAATATTATTATATATAATTTTATTAATATTTTTATTTTTAAAAGGAATGTTTTTATGATAATTTAAATATTTAAAGTTAATTGCGACTAAACATTAATATATTTTTAATTCTATTAGAATTAATTTTTAAAAAATACTATTTAAATATAAGTACATTATAATATCATCAATTATAATTTAAATTAATCATATTAATTATTTTTTATAATTAATTATATGCAAGTAAAATCAAAACGGCGGTCATAGAAAATCCGAAGAGGAGTATTTGATTTTGAAGGCCCAAGGAGAATCTAGAACTGAAATGGTTTGAAGCAATCCTGCTTTCGAATTCCCGGGGCTTCCGCCTCAGAAACCGATCGTACCAGGAAGAAGCCATGCTGCGAGCCAAGTGTCCTCCTCATCAACTTCGGCGGCTCACACGTGGCGGTGCCGCCACACCCACCGTCCAGTTCATTGTTGCCTCACTGTGTTGCCATGTTCTTGTTCTGTATTGTGATGCCTCCTTCTGCTCTCTACACCTGCCACCTCATCATCATCCTACCAACGACGCAACCACCACAACCATGGTATGTATAACTATTTCTGTTTTCCTCTTTTTCTGCGAAGCCCATTTACAGACTGTCTCTTGCTTGTATTTCCGTGGATTGTTTTTGTTTCCGTCAGATTGCAGTCTGTGACAGTTGACTAAGCTTAATGCATTGAAATGAGGTTTATTTTTGGAAGTAGTCTCCTTTTCTTTTCTCTGGAACTATTTCTGTTTGGAGTAAAGTTATGTTTCTGTGTAGTCCTGAGTCCTGATCTAATGTGCAACAAATGAGAAACTCTAAAAGACTATGGAAAATGTTCTGTGAGATGATAATTCAGGTCAGTTTCGAAGCGCTTCGATTTCCGCAAATTAGTCCTGTTAAATTTAAAGGTTAGCTTTGATGATGCTTTTAATTAGTGAATTAATATTCCAAGTCAGCTATACCATAGAAATATCGCCCTAAGTTCAGAAATAAAAAATAAGAATTGTAATGCGCATTACATATTTTGATCGATATTCTTTCCTTGTGCGATCAATCAGGAGAATAAGAACAAATGCCAAAGTAGTGGATGGAAGAATATTGATGTTTCCTGCCTCAAACGTTCATTAGGTTTACTCGATGCCAGCTTCTTCAATGATGAACAGGTCATTTCGTTTGCTTGTGCATTTGATCTTTCTGCGTCACTTGGTGATGAAGACTGAGTGTGAAGCTTGAAATGTTCCTCTTTGCCTTAGATTGTAGAGATTAATGAGGGTGTACATGAACTCAATATCCCAATTATACAAACAAATCGGAAACTTGTGGCATCTGAAAATGGAGGCCTCCATTACCCACCCGCTTTGGTTTTCAATCCTGGCTGGGGCTATCGGTCGACAAACAAAACATTTAGCTATCCTTCTGTCTCTGGGACTCGTAGACCAGAATCTGATGAGGATATTGCCTTTATGAGTGTAAGTGATTCAACCCTACCTGAATACTTATCTGAATTTGACCCACATTGTGTTACTTGATTAATGACTTGTACTTTTTATGTGTTTTAAAACCAGGTTCTTGAATTAGCTGAACTCATTAGAACAAAGCAAATCACTTCTCAGGAGCTTACACAGATTTTCCTTCGGAGACTGAAAGAGTAATATTGAGAACGCGGACTTGTCATTTCTTTTGTGTGCGTTTTCGTGAGCTTTGAGTATTTTAATCCTATAGCTTCCTACTTAATGAAGTGATCTGAAAATAACACCAGGTTCAATCCTGTTCTTGAATCTGTAATCACTTACACTGAAGAATTGGCTCACAGGCAAGCGAAAGAAGCTGATGAGTTGCTTGCCATAGGCGTCTATCTTGGTAGACATCTTTTTCTAGCAAGTGAACGTTTCGAAGTGATGCAATTTTCTTCTTTTCCTTCCCTTCTATTTGTAACTCCAAAAAGGTTAACAATATCACGTGATGATTACTCAACTTTTCTTGCTCGCATCTTAACCAACTACAATTTATAACGAAATGTACGAGTTTATCTCCTGGTATAAAAAAATGAACCTTTTCATTCCAGTTCCTTAAATTTTGAACAAGATATTTGCGGATGCATTTTGGGTAAAGAATATCAGTTAAAGGATAAAATATTTGAGCAATAATGGCCATAGGATAGAAAAGAATGCACAAGTTAGTTGACCTCAAAAAGTCCATGTTCTGTTTAAGCAGACCTATGGCAGAAAGTTATGTTTTCTAGCTTAAAAGTTGGCATGTCAATTATTTTGTTGTATGTGTACTGACTCTCATTGTTTTCTATTTAAATACTATTGAGTTTCCTGGTAGGCCCTCTTCATGGAATTCCATATGGATTGAAGGATATAATAGCAGTGCCTGGTTATAAAACTACATGGGGTTCAAAAACCTTCAAAGATCAAGTTATTGACAAAGAAGCTTGGGTGTACAAGAGGTATCTATTCCAATATCTAAATGTTCAGCCACTGCATCTTTGAAAAAATTGATGACTTGGTTCATTTAGGCTAAGGGCTGCTGGAGCTGTTCTCGTTGCAAAGCTTGTTTCTGGATCATTGGCATATGATGATATCTGGTTTGGTGGAAGAACTAGAAATCCATGGAATATTGAAGAGTTCTCTACTGGGTCATCTGCCGGACCAGCTGCCAGCACCTCGGCTGGTATTCTTAAAAAGTTTTGCTCAATCCTTGGAATATGATCTGTCAACTACTTGTTAAGAACACTTCTTCACTTGTCTTCAAGTTAGTTGATTTTGTTTATTGTATAACAGGTATGGTTCCATTTGCCATTGGTTCAGAAACAGCTGGCTCCATTACTTATCCTGCTGCTCGTTGTGGCGTGACAGCATTGCGACCAACTTTTGGTACAGTTGGTCGAAGTGGTGTAATGAGCATATCAGAAAGCTTGGTACAACCTTCATTATCATATTCTTGTGTGATTAGATGCAATAAATGTTGGGACTTACTGATAACCTTTCTTGCAGGATAAGCTGGGCCCTTTCTGCAGAAGTGCAACTGATTGTGCTGTTGTCCTCGATAATATTCGGGGAAAGGATCCGGATGACATCTCATCGAGAGAGAGCCAGATCGATGATCCTTTCTCAGTTGACATTACCAACCTGACAGTTGGATATCTTGATGATGCTGAAATGGAGGTTAGTTCAGGTTCATGTAATTTGGTTAGGTCTCATGATTAAAGATGATGTTTAGTATCAGTCTCAGATATTGCTGTAGCTGATACTATCAGCATGATATGTAACCTGAGCATACTGTTGGGATAACAATTACAGGTTGTAATGTTCTTGCGTCAAAGGGTGTGAAGATGGTACCTTTTCAACTGAATTACACAGTTGACTCTGTTCAAGGTATACTAAATTTCACAATGGATGTTGATATGCTGGCACACTTTGACGAGTGGCAACGATCAGGCCAAGATAATGTGTATGAAGCTCAAGATCAGTGGCCAACTGAACTGCATCGTGCACGTTTAATCCCAGCTGTGGATTATGTACAGGTTTGTTCTATACCATCTGATTCGATTTCTTACCATAGGGGCTTAATTTTAGATTTTCTTCATAGTAGCCATTGTTTGTTCTTACATATTATATTACACCTGGTTAAGAAAAATCACAGAATCTTGAGTCAACTGAAAAATTTAGTCTAATGGTACTATTGAAGAAACAAAATACTGTAACCTTTGGATTCTTCAATTCCTGTTCTTTGCCCTTCTTACATACATAACAGCTATAATCCTTGAATGCTATGATTCTCCCATATAAGCAAGAGTCATTCAGCATTGTATTTTTCAGCCATATATAACTTGCTACATAGTTTCACATTTTATTCTTTTCAGGCACAAAGAGCAAGGGGAAAGCTAATAGAAGAGATAAGAGAGAGTTTCACGGTTGACGCCTTCATCGGCAATGCGACCGACTGGGAGAAAGTTTGCCTAGGAAATCTTGTAGGTTTACCAGTCATAGTAGTTCCGACAGGTTTTAAGAACATCTCCAATCCACCTGCCAGTGGCAGCAGACGAAGAACCACCATCACCACCTGGCATTTACGCTCGCCCGGACCATGATCACATTGTATGCAGATGGATGAAATTTATTTGTGACTTTAGATCTTCATTCTCATGTAACGATGTTTTTGTGTTTCCTCTAATTTGCAGGCTTTGGCACTGGCAATGGCTTACCAATCAGTGACCAATCACCACAAACAGCGTCCACCCATCAATGATCTTGGTCCAAATGATGTTATTTCTGATGTTTTTACCCCTCCCCGGGTCTTGCGTCGATGAACGGTCACAAAAAAAATGAAATATGCATATTTATGGGCACTATTGTTTTCACAAAGGTACCAAAGTGGAGTAGGCCATGAAATTATTCAAGGATGAGATATTTCTCCAAATATTCAATAGTTATTTATCCTCTGTTTTCGCAATGGCGTTTGTGAATATATGCACTTGCTTATAAAGCACCTAAACAACCACGCATGACTTTACACTTGAAGTCGCCCAATGATGGTTTCAAATTTTTGTGGGTTATGATTGTGAACCGCTAATCAATAAGCACCTAGATTTACAAACAACCATGCATTTGCTTTTCCATTCGTTTTGGTAGAATAAATGGCATAAAGGTGTGGCTTGGACTACTGTTTATTGAACGTGGTGGGAGAATGCCAATTGAGGTCTTTTTTCACCTTTTCGAATCAGGAATCAATATTATACTAATGGAAAGGATCGTTAAGAGGAAACTGCTAATGGAGATATAAAAAGATTCCAAGTTGAATGATCGATATCTTGGATTAACAGGTGAGAGGTTACTTTAACTTAATTGGAAGTTTCGAATTCAAATTTTGAGACCACTTGAAAGGGTCTTACAATGTTTGATTTGATTAGTCTGAGTCATTGTTAAGTGGGTTTTGCAGTGTTTGATTTGATTAGTCCGAGTCATTGCTAAGTCTATTAAGTCTTTTCAATTTAATGTGAGATAGGCTTATGATACTGGATACGCAAACAATCACAAAAAGATTCCTAGTTGGAGGAACTTATTATAACAGGAAAATGAGTAGCGTTGCTGGCCAAAAAAAAAAAGAAAACAAAAAAGAAAATGGGAAAATGAGTAGCGTATTGGACAAAGTGATTAATGGGGAGAGTGAGGAATTCTCTGAAATAATATATTGAGACTTTAAAGAGGAAAAAAATAGGTACTACTAGTCTACTATATTTAATTATTTATAGAATCCTGATTATTAAATCACATTTCTTTCTTGTGGGCGTTCACTCAGTTTTATAGAAGTTTTCTTAAAATGTCAACGATGGAAGTGGGAAAAAGTGACAAATTTGCATGAAGGCTATTGGATGGTATGTTCCACTCCTAGATTGTGATGTCCAGCTAGACTGCGCGTGTGCATGATCTTGGCTTCATCGAGTAACCAAAACGATAGTGCCTTCTGCTAAGTGGAGATTAGATTCATGGAAGACAGGGATTACATAGGCACAGGTGTGTCGTGCGCCTAGGTTCCTAGTTTCTAACCCCACTGTGGGCAAGTTTCAATCATTTCGTTTCCGCATTTCCTCTCTTGAATACTAGCAAGGGAATAGCCCAGATTATCGATTCAAATTCAAGTTCAGGTGTCGTGTTCTAAATTTAAAGGATATTAATTAAAACTAAAAATAAAACGAGAAAAATATTTTTTAGTTGCAAAATAACATCCTATTTAAACAGTCTAGATTTTAATTTATTTTTTATTTTATAATATCATTAAATTAAAGTATTTTTATTTTGTGTCGTATTTAAAACTAAAATATTAAATTAATGAAAATGTTTAAATTGTTTAAATTAAATTTAAATAGTTATAATGTTTTTTTTTTAAAGGTTTGGGTTGCTGTTTTCAATCTTGACCCTGCTCTCGATAAAGCACTGTTTTTGCTTCAGTTTTGGCAAAGTAACCGCATCGCCTGTGATTCTGGGGAAAAATAAATAAATAAATAAAAGCCGCATGTCCCGTGATCTTGAAAATTATATGAATTATGACCAGAGATGATTGGATGCGTGCACTTTCATCATCATCCAAAATGGGCAAATACTGGACATAGTTAGAAAACAGTAAAAAAAATTGAATAAATACTGATATGACTTAACACAACTTTTTTTTTTGCTGCAAAAAAAATCATTTTATTAATATTAAAAAAAATATACATGATAATAGTTGAAGCCAACAAAAGACACTCAAAAACACCTAAACATCTAACCTAGCACACAAATTCCCCAAAAGAAAAAACAATAAAAAATACTAAACAATAAGTTCAACCAAAAGTAAGACAAAAGCTAACTTTTCCTCTTTCATCATCTTCCTCCCATAATTCGGTAGGAGGATGATAATTAAAAAGACAAAAATTTCCTGTCAAAGTTTGCAAATATCAATCCCTGGTGATATGAACAAAATATAATTGACCATTCTTAAGAAGGACAGATCAAGCTTGACGGACGGTGTCCTTAAAAGGATAGTTAGCATATTACATCCTCAAATGATAGAGGTAATAGCCTCAGAGTAGTCCGAAGAGATCTTAACCTCGAAAATGTTCCTCCCCCAGAAGATAGTTGGCTCCTGTATCATTCCAATAATTCCAGCCACAGCTAGAGGAACATTTATTAGTTTGGTGCTGAAGCCGCAAATCCAGTTATTGTGAAAACATTAAAAAAATTATTTTTCTGGCTAACAATTAGAAAGCAATAAGTTAAGGAAACTAAAAGTTAATCCTCGAAAGGATGTTCAGCTTGCACTTTCTTTGTTAATTAAAGCTTCAAATTTCAAAATCAAATACCAAACTACTCAGAATGCAAATGCAATCACAGAATTCCAGAATTTGACTTGCAATATTGAAAGAAGAGAATAAACAAAAAAAAAAGAGAATAAACAAAAAAAATAAATAAAGGCAGCCTGTGTGACCTAGTAAACTGCGTTTACAGACCCATATAAACTAGTCATAATTATTTTGATAGACCGCGAATATCATAATTATAATGAAGGATTAAAAAATACACTTAATTTGACTATTATGTCTTCTTAAAAATATAGCCTAATAAACAAATAAAAATATTTCCTCCCTTTTTCTTCTTTTTCTGACGTGGCTTCCTCCATGATATATTGTGAATAATTAAATCATATTGTTAGGTGGCTTATGTTGAAATGTGTCTACAAAGATATTGCAACTCTCCGTCCTTCAGATCTAATTTTATTAATAAAAGATATACAGTTGTTGATACCAATCGTTTAATTTGACTTGATGGTTTGTACTTTTGATCAAATAAATAGACAAATTATAATTAGTAGTGTTTGATTCACAAGATAAATAAGAAGTTGATAGAATTCTCTTACTAAATAATATATTGACCTGAATAAAATTTTATTTTTAAGTAAAAAAATTAAAATCCAAATCCAAATAATAAAAAAATTTGTGAGAAAGGATAGAAACAAAAAAAAAATATAATAATGACGGGCATACAGCTTAATATAAGCTGGTCTAATTATATATATACAATTCATATATTTTTTAAAAAGGCACGAGGTCTTACACTATAATATCTCACCAAACAATGGTGGAGAAATAAATATACTGTTGAAGATAGGGCACTCTGATCCTTCCTACCAAGACATACAGTACAACAGAATTCCAAAAATTAGACATCGCTTTGTTCGTTCGTTTGTTTGACTATTAGTTGCTATCTAGACAATGTGATTGGTTATGTTCATAAGTGGAAATCCTAAGGTGATTTACATGTCAAATGAAAAAGGTACAAAAATATGTTTACATTGTAATAAACATTTTATTGAAATGTGCAGTCTCTATTTTTCATATTGAATAACATGTCACTTTTTCATATCTTGAGGTATCCCATCCCCTGTTAAATTTATACATTTGTATCCAAATGGCAATTCACATTTTATTGTTTTCTAACTAATTGAGATAATTTTTATTGGACTTTTTTTTAACATGTGTAGCAAAAACATCGATCTATTTTGATTCACTAGCATTATAAAAATGCAAGCGCTTGTATATACCCAAATCGGGGGTCAACCTTAGAAATAAAAGTGCACATACATGAAAAATGTCCTTAGGATAAATAGAGAGTGATTTTGTCAATAGCATTGGCAGAGAGTTTTCGTTTATAATGACTTTAAATTTTATAATAAACTAATGAATAATGATAAGTTAAACTGTTTGATCAATCTAACCACTAATACATCAAACAATAGACAACTATAGAGATGATAAGATTCAGGGTTATTTATATGTAATTTGTCTTATTACTATAAAAACAAATTTAATTTCGTTGCTAGTACTATTCATATCTTGCTCTCTTAATTAATTATTTTTATTTTTATTAGGCGGAAATCCCTCGATGATTCACGTTTATGTTGCAATAAATGTTTTATTGCATTTAAAATATTTATTATTTATTTAGTTTCGGTAATATGTCAATATTATATATCTTAACATTTTCGGGGTAAAAGTTGCAATGTATACTTGTAAGATTTGAGATTTTTTGCTAATTATATAGAATAACATGACAACCTTTCATGCCTGTTAAAAGTGAAGCATGGGACATGCCGAAATGGTTGTCAAATTTAAAGACAAAAGTACAATTGATAAATGTTAGAAGGATGGAGAAAGAGACCGTGTCAATGATGTTGGGAGAAAGTTTGAAGTATAGTGGCTTTGAAGTTGATTGGCTTTGTTAAAAGACATGTAATGTTAATGCAATAATAAATAATAATTGGATAAGACCGTTATAACAATTTAACTATCAGTAATTTGGACAATAGATAACTGTAATGTAATAAGATATGATAAGTATAATTGTTATCCTGACGTAATTTATTTTGTTTTTATTTAAAAAATTCAAGCACATTATTAGATTTCATTAGTGTTACCACTCATATGTTGAAAATTCAAGGTGTTTCATGCAAATAAAGTTATGAAAATGAAAACATGTTCAAATTATATTGTGATGCATGCTTTATAGAAATTTGAAATATATGTTAATTAGATCGAGTAAAATGCCAAATTTTCATATTTCAACAGTATCAAACTTTTAAAAGTGTGTGTCCAAATTGTAGCATACATTTTATTGGGATCTAGAGTCTCTGCTATTTAGGCATAATAAGATGTTAATAGTTCATGCTCCTTATTATTTTATTAAATATTTCATTGAAATGAATTTCTTTTTGTTTTCAAGATGTGTCAAAGAAATTTCTGTTTTTCTCTAGATAAAAAAAGAAATTTCTGTTTTAATTCATTAGCACCATAAAAGTGAAGCATCAACATGCATGAGTGTCAAGCCTAGAGATAAAAAATACATCATAAAATTGTTGGAAGGATTAAGATATATATATTTGTTTATAAATCACAAATGATTGATTAGCACCAATAGACCAGACTGCTGCTAGTATCTCAAATAATAAAGAACTTTAAATTCTATTAATGGGGATGATAATAATGACCATTATTCCTATGCGATTCGTTTTAATTTGTTTCTATAAAGCAAGTCTAAATACATTATTGCAGTAAAAACAAAAGTCCAAATGCATTGTTTAATTTCATTTCCATCATCACTTATATTTTAGTTTCGTTGTTTATTATTTTTATTTTTATTAGGTCGAGATCCTAAAATGCTCTATTGTTCAATATAAAAACTTTTGAAATATGTGCAAATCATAATACATTACAGGTTCCATTGAATTTGGAAATATTTGTTATTTAAATTGAATAACATGTCAATGTTTTTAAATCTTAACCCAATGCAAAACTTATAAAACCCTGCCCACCGAATCCTAATATATCTCTTGTTGGGATTTGAGGTTCTTGTATTTAGGCAGAAGAACACGTCAACCATTCATATATTTATTTTCTTATTTGTTTGAAAAGAATACATTTACACTTTTAATTTTGTAATAGAAATCTTCATTTTAGTTCATTGACATCGTAAAAGTGAAGCACAGTTAAGTTCCCACATGACTGTCAAGTTTAAAGATATAAAGCACACATAAATGATGACATACGGATGTAGAGATAGTGGTTTTGTTAATGGTGATTGTGATTTCGTTTGGGATAGCTTTCAAATTGATTACTTGTCAAAATATTGGAGATACTGATTGTTAATTAAATAATGAATTATGATTAGTCAAGATTCTCATAATAATTTAGGATGTAGAATTTTAGCAAACAGATAACTGTAACATTTATTAAGAGAAAAGGATAAGAGTCATCGTTATTTCAATTCCACGTATCCCGTTTTTCCTCTATAAAATGAGTTTAAGTATATTGCTAGATTTCATTACTGTTTTTTCACTCATATTTCGATATACCAATTTATTGATTTTTGTTTTTATTTGATGAAAATCCTGAGATGTTTCCCAAGTTTAATATGAAAGTTATAAAAATATGTTTATATCATAACACAAATATAATTGAAATTTAGAATAAAAGTGATCGAGCTTGAGTAACATGTGACTTTTTTCTTGCTACTGTGTCCAATTTAGAACTTCTAAAGAAAATATCTTATTATACAGTTTTTAAGATGGGGAGGACTTGGCACCGTAAAAATGAAATATAGTTACATGGATTTATTTTTGTTTAAAAGTTGAGATTCATGAATTTTCATGAAATTTTTTAACATATTTTTTCATTTTATTATTTCTCATAAAATATAAAATTTTCTTTCTTTTCTTTAAAAAAGACAAATTTTATGAATTTTTCAGAATCTCAACTCTTAAAAAAACACGAATAAAAAATGGCGGAGGGATAGATAGAATAAACATAGTTCAGCAACGCAAGTTTAATATTTAAATTGAAAAAAAGTTATGATTATACATATGTATTATCTAAATTTAAATTTGGATAATAACTGGATATATCTTGTATCATAATTTTTTAAAATAATTTTAACTTTCACTGTTATATTCTTTAAAAATTTTGCAACACAATATTCTTAATTTTATTATTTTTAATTTATAATTATATCTCGGTCATGCATATATATATATATATATTTTTTTTTTTGAAAAATTCAGCTTCTAAATCAAACGCCAAACAAAAAAGAAATAAAATTTTAGAAAAATGATGAATAAAGACCTTATAAAAATATTAATATTAAATTAAAAATTTTAGAAATATGATAGAAGATGTATTAAAATTTAAGAATATCAATATTAAAAAATTTTAATTTAACCGTAATATTAATTAATACTTTACAAGATTCTTATTCACCATTCTTTCTAAATCTTTTCCAAATCTCACGTTTTTTGCCCTTTTTTTTGGCCCACTCAGCCAAATCTTCCTATCCGCGCTATTATTTTTCTTCCCCCTCACATAATCAGGACGGTAGCGTGGGGGATTTGTTTATTTAAATGGTATTTCGCGTAATTTTGCCCCGAAAGCGAGGGTAACTTTTACTGTCAGCTTACGGTTCAGCTCTCGTCCTTTTTATTTAAGCTCCGAACCCGAACTGGTTCTAGTCTCTCTCCTCATCCTCCTGGTTCTCTCACTGATCCGCCGCCCGGATTTGGCTGTATCGAGCTTGGGATCTCTTTTCTGCTCATCATTTGTTGAAAATCAGGGATTGTGATTCGAATTGTACTTTGTGTTCGATCTGGATTACGTTGGTTCGATAGATCCGAAGTGACCAGTGGAAGCCAAATTCCTCTGCACCTCTCTGATTTAAGGTATTGCTCCTTCTTCTAGCAATCCATTGTTATAGATCTCTGGTTTAACATTCAATCTATACCTCTGCATGCGATCCAGTTCACTATTTTAGTCGTTTTTGGGCTTTGAATTGTATTTTGTTCGTGAGAATTAACGGAATCAAATTTCATATACTTGCTCTGTTTCATAACCAACACTCGTGATTTGGTATCTTTATGGAATTTTGTGATGAGTGATGATCCGATCCCGATAGTATCATGCACCAGTTCGCCGCATTAATCTCTGAGGATTGTGAATGCCTGTGATGATTTGTGATGTTTCCGGTTCTATTGTTGTGGATCTAAGTGCTGCTTTTGCAGCAAAATACGTAGGATACCGTCCAGGTTGATTTCCTCGATTTTCTTAAGGGGTGACCGCCTTTATCTGTATCTGTGCTTGGATAGGAATGTAAACGTTTTTATATGCATATATATTATTTGATGTCTTGAAAGTTTCGTCCTTTTTAACTTCAGAGATAATGTTTCTGAATCTTTCTGTTTGCTTGATTGTAGATCATTCGGTAGCTGTTGAAATGGCAGCAGCAACAGGATGGTACAGGGGAAGAGTGAAAGCCGTTCCTTCAGGGGACTGCTTGGTCATTATGGCCATGGCCAGTAGCAAGCCTGGTCCTCTGCCTGAAAAGAGCATCACTTTGTCATCTCTGATTGCTCCTCGACTGGTATGTCTTTTGAGCTGACATTCTCTTGACTTTGTTCTGTCGATATGATTTTGCCAACAATTACTTCTGATGCATATTTCGTGCAAACTTGTACATTAAAACTTAAAACTGTGCAAGATTGAGTACTTATTTATATTATTCTTTGCTAGGCGCGTAGGGGTGGTGTAGATGAGCCATTTGCATGGGAAAGCAGAGAGTTTCTAAGAAAGCTCTGCATAGGGAAGGTGCGTAATATGAAAATTGCTGTTTTGATTGGCTGGTTTGGTAGTATTTCCTTAGTGTAATGCGTTTTAAGCCTGACTTGATGTATTCTTTGAGCAGGAAGTGACCTTTAGAGTTGATTACAATGTGCCCTCCATTAATCGGGACTTTGGCACTGTTTTTCTTGGTGACAAAAATGTTGCAATGCTGGTTGTTGGGGAAGGCTGGGCCAAGGTTGTAACACTATAAGCTTCCGTCCAGATTTTCTATGTTTAAATTATTCATCAGTTTCTCAATTGAATATCGTTATCCTGTTCATGCAGGTAAGAGAGCAGGGGCAACAGAAAGCGGAAGTAAGTCCTTACCTTGCAGAATTGTTGCGACTGGAGGAACATGCTAAACAAGAAGGCCATGGTCGGTGGAGCAAGGTTTGTTTCTGAATTTCGCTTTCTGAATTTGTTGCAGATAGTTAACTAGTATAAATGGCATTATTTTGGGTTATTGCATGCTTATAGAGGTTAGTTTTATCCCTGAATTTTAACTTCTTTCAAACCTAATTGTTTAGCAACTTATGCTTAGCCGTCCACCCTTGGATTTCTGGGAAAATTTGTTTGCCTGTAATTTTCCTGGCCGATGCTAAGCATCTTTACTGGTGTAGAAGTTTACCCTGGTGGTGCCAAAAGCTGTTCATTAGATATTCCATGCATTAATTCACATACAAATTGTGAAAATCAGTAATCAGATGTTTCCTATCTTGAAAGATCTTATTATGGATCACCTTTTGATTTGTCATCCATCCTATTTCATAAAAATCCTGAATTATTACACATTTTATATGACCATACAGGATGATTCTTGGATGGGGAAGAAATAGAGAATTTGAATCACCAATTTTTGTCAAATTTATAGCAATATGCCATGCTTAGGCAATATCTGGATCTGTGGCTGATTGCAGGTTCCTGGTGCTGCTGAGGCATCTATGAGAAATCTGCCACCTTCTGCCATTGGTGACCCTAGCAACTTGGATGCTATGGGCTTGTTAGCTGAGAACAAGGGCCGACCCATGGAAGGAATTGTTGAGCAAGTTCGTGATGGTAGTACCCTTCGGGTGTATTTACTTCCAGGGTTTCAGTTTGTCCAAGTTTTCATGGCCGGTATTCAGGCAAGTGTTGTACAATGCTTTTGCTATTACTGCAAATCTTTTGTGCATGTTACTTATATATATTTTTATTTTCAATTTGAGTTAGGCTCCACAAATGGGAAGGAGAGCTGCAACGGAAACAGTTGTTGAAACAGAGTTGGCAGCTGATGATACTAACGGGGATATTACTGGAGAACCTCAAGCCCCACTTACATCTGCCCAAAGACTTGCAGTTTCAACATCTGCTGAAACTGCTGCTGATCCTTTTGCACTGGATGCTAAATTTTTCACTGAGATGTGTGTGTTGAACCGAGATGTGAGTGGCCTGCTTCTGTATGATACATGTTGCTTGGTGAATTACAGAAAATTTTCTGAATTTTACGTGGGAATATGTAGGTTCGCATTGTCCTGGAAGGTGTTGACAAGTTCAGCAATTTGATTGGTTCAGTGTATTATCCTGATGGTGAATCGGCTAAGGATCTAGCATTGGAGCTTGTGGAAAATGTATGTGGTTCATTACCATAAATTATTTTGTTTAGTCAGTTCTTATTTCACTTGAGGTTTTATATTAAGCTGCTTTTATGGCACACTTTTTGGCTGGTTTATGGAAACTCTATCATACCTGTAGCTACTTGAATATGTACTTAATTTGGGGTGGGCGTCCTTAGAAGGGACGTGCCAGTTCTTAAACTCTGAATGATGGGCATGATAGATACTGAAGGAATCTTATATCTATTGGTTTTTAAGCATGTGCTGACCATTGGATTTAAGATGGACACATTATATTTGCTGTTCCTACTGGGTTTCTGTTCACTCCATGGGATTTATTAGAGTGCTTTAAGCCTCTATGATTTATATACACTCTGGTGTTGACGTATTCTTCTGCTTGACTGAAATATTGACTGTGAATATTTCTACTGTAATTTGGCAGTGAATAAAAAGATATTCTGAGAATGTCTCACTTTATTTTCTCCTATAATACAGGGTTTTGCTAAATATGTTGAATGGAGTGCAAATATGATGGAAGAAGATGCCAAGCGGAGGCTGAAGAATGCAGAGCTCCAGGCAAAGAAGAGCAGGTTAAGGATCTGGACAAATTATGTACCACCAGCTACAAATTCAAAAGCAATTCATGACCAGAATTTTACAGGAAAGGTAAAGTTTTGTCCAAACATATCCTTACAACAAATAATCAAATAGTAATGTCATTTTATAATACTTTAAGTTGACTTTTCCAGGTGGTAGAGGTTGTAAGTGGGGATTGCATAATTGTTGCTGATGATTCCATCCCATATGGCAGTCCACTAGCAGAACGGCGAGTCAACCTGTCAAGTATCAGGTGTCCAAAAATAGGCAATCCTCGTCGAGATGAAAAGCCAGCTCCTTATGCCCGTGAAGCAAAAGAGTTTTTAAGAACACGCCTCATTGGTCGTCAAGTATGAAAATAACTTATGATGCTTTATTTTGATGAAATTGGGAAAATTCATTTATATTGATTGCTCTTGTTTCCAGGTGAATGTTCAAATGGAGTATTCTAGGAAGGTTGGCCCGTCAGATGGATCTATTGCTCCATCAGGGCCTGCAGATTCCAGAGTAATGGATTTTGGATCTGTATTCCTAGTGTCTCATGTGAAGGTGGAGGGTGATGATGCCCCATCATCAGCTCCTCCTGCTGCAGGTCAGCAAACTGGGGTAAATGTTGCGGAGTTGGTGGTCAGTCGTGGCTTTGGGACTGTCATTAGACATCGTGACTTTGAGGAGAGGTCAAACTACTATGATGCTCTACTTGCTGCTGAATCACGTGCCACTTCTGGAAAGAAAGGAATCCATTCTGCCAAGGATCCTCCAGTCATGCATATAACTGACTTGACCATAGTGAGAATAGTGATGGTTATGCTAAATTTACTTTCTACTTTCAAGGTTATAAAATGTGACTTGGAACTTTTCCCCCACTTAGGCATCGGCCAAGAAAGCCAGAGATTTCTTACCTTTCCTGCACCGAAGTAGAAAAATTCCTGCTGTTGTGGAATATGTCCTCAGTGGACATCGTTTCAAGCTGTTGATTCCTAAAGAAACCTGCAGCATTGCCTTTTCATTTTCTGGTGTCAGATGTCCTGGTCGTGATGAGCCATATTCTGATGAAGCGATTGCACTAATGAGACGAAAGATTATGCAGAGAGATGTTGAGGTAATCCAATTTCTGTGAGTGTAATATTACTTCATTTTTGCTTTCTTTATGCAATATATTCTCTATGCAGATTGAAGTGGAAACTGTTGATAGAACTGGAACTTTCTTGGGGTCCTTATGGGAGTCAAGGACCAATATGGGAGCTGTACTTCTTGAAGCTGGCCTTGCAAGACTCCAAACCTCCTTTGGCAGTGACAGGATTCCTGATTTTCACCTTCTCGACCAAGCTGAACAATCTGCTAGGAGGCAAAAGCTTAAGGTAAGAAAGGAACTATTATGGTCTTATTACTGTTTTTTCCTTTCAAATATTCTAAGATGAATTGTTTTGCAGATTTGGGAGAACTACGTTGAAGGGGAGGAAGTGTCCAATGGTGCAGCTGTTGAAAACAAGCAGCAAGAAGTGCTCAAGGTGCTTTGGATACACTTTGCATATGTGATCCTTGTGTTTAAAAACGTGAATGACTTATTTATTTCTATAAACTGTCAGGTTGTGGTTACCGAAATCTTGGGAGGTGGTAAATTCTATGTACAGACAGTTGGTGATCAAAAGATAGCATCGATTCAGCAGCAACTTGCTTCTTTGAACCTTCACGAACCTCCAGTGATTGGTTCTTTCAATCCCAAGAAGGGTGACATAGTTCTTTGTCATTTTCTGGCAGACAATTCTTGGTACCGAGCAATGGTGAGTTCAAGCCTGAAACCTTAGCTGTGTATTCAAGCTCATACTGAACATTTTGACGATTAAATAGAGATTGTATTTGGGGTGTGGGGAAATCTCCTGATGGTTGATTTCTTGTAACCTAGTTCATCCATAAAACTTAATTTTCTTCACCCTATGGCTTTTTTTATTTTTCCTTATGTAAGATGTAGTTTAATAGCATTTGATAAAACTAAAGTGGATTTCTTTTCATTTAATCTGATTTCAAATTTTGATTTGATACTGCATCTTTTTTGTTCCCACCTGTAATGATTCCTGGATTAGTTAGGGTAGTAGATTACATCACAAGGCCCACTCTTTAAGCACAAGCTCTCGAGAGAACCTTGTGCAAGTTAATTGCCTATAGTAATGCCACGAGATGCCAAATATTTTGTGTATTTCATGTCCCTTTTGTGATCACTTCTCACTAAACTGTCTTTTGCTTGTGAAATTCTTTTTTAATACATGGCATTTACAATTGAAACTTGTAATCCTTTGTTTCAGCATCCTGAGTCTTTACAATTGAGTATTTGTAGGTTGTCAATGCTCCTCGAGGACCAGTTGAATCACCTAAGGACAAATTTGAAGTATTCTACATTGATTATGGAAATCAAGAAGAAGTAACTTACAGTCAATTACGGCCTGTTGATCCATCTGTGTCTGCTGCACCTGGCCTTGCTCAATTGTGCAGTCTTGCATACATAAAGGTTCCTAGCGTGGAGGATGATTTTGGTCAAGAAGCTGCTGAATATCTGAGTGAGATGACTTTGAACAGTGGAAAAGAGTTCAGAGCCAAGGTTGAGGACAAAGACACATCAGGAGGAAAAGTGAAAGGACAGGGAACTGGCACAATTCTCAGTGTAACTCTTGTTGCTGTGGATGCTGATATCAGCATTAATGCTTCCATGCTTCAGGTTTTTTCTTGTAGCTGATTCTTTGGCTTTTAGAGCCATTCGTTTTTTTTTTTTTATTATTAATAATGCCGTTATACCAAATCAGGTTTAAACCTTTGATATCACTACATTCCATTCAACTCTTATCACCTAAGATAGTCTAGGGAGGTTTTTTCTTTAATTCTTTGTCTCCATACCCTTAGCATGCACAAAATGCAATCTTCTGAACTTTGCTTTCGTTTGGTGGAAATTCCAGGAAGGACTTGCTAGGATCGAGAAAAGAAATAGGTGGGACAGAAAAGAAAGACAAGTTGCCCTTGATAATTTGGAGATGTTCCAGCAAGAAGCACGTACTGGTAGGCGTGGAATATGGCAGTACGGAGATGTCCAGTCAGATGAGGAGGACAGTATTCCTCCGCCAAGAAAGGCTGGTGGCCGAAAATGAATGTAATTTAATGATGGGAGGTAATTTATAAGATAGACATCTTTGAGAGAAAATGAGAGAAGGTATAGGGCATATGAACATCATGCTTTTGAGTTAGCGAGGGAAAGGAAATGCGGTGCGTGAACCCTAGTTTTGTTTTGCCTTGTTTTTATTTTTATTTTTGTTTTTTTTTAAATTTTGTTTGTTAGGTTGAGGGGACAATTTTTTCGATAATGTCATAATAAGGTACATGCGGCAAAGGTTCATTGTTACCATGGGGGATTTTAGAGACGACTTTTAGTTAAAACTTGTGCATGCTTGTGCTTCTTGGTCTTCACAAAACTGAACCTTTTTTATATTTTGGGTTTCGTTGAAAGTTCTCATCCAAATTTGCCCACAAAAGGAATTGCCGTCCAAATGATTTGTTTAGAATTTTTTATCATCTTGGACAAGGATCCAAAAGATTATTCTGTTTCTGCCTTAGGGCAAGACTGATGAATTATGCTCTAAAAGTTGGCAATCAATCGTATTTCAGTCGTGCGCGCATCTAATGCATATCTCGTCTCTCTCACGTCAGCTGCAAAAGGAGACAAATGCTGGGTTGCGTGGTCTCACTTAGAGCCCTTCGTAAATTTCCGAACATGACAAAAATGTTATTTATCCATTACTTTCTGTGCCAGTGAGTTTACTTCCCCCAGGCAGTAGGGAAGATAAAACTCAATTCGCTGTTTTTAATAAAATGTACTTAAACCACAAGTATTTCACTGATGAGTTCCGATAGACTTGAAAAGAATTTTAGAATTGTAATTGATCCAACACTTTTTAGCGATCGCTTGTTCTAAAAGACTTCAATAGGGGTGCATGTTGATGAGTTTATTTGTGGGATGAGGAAGAACTTTTTTCCTTTTGCAAATGGAAGATTATGCGCAAACTAGTTGACAAAGAGGAGCGAGCGTTCCTGTTGCCGCCAGAAAGTTGGTTTTATCACTCTTCTGCGGTTTTGCCCCAATATATGCTTTACTAATCGGTAATGCAAGGAAAATTGAATTAATCTTGTTTAACAAAAATAAATTCATATTATATGAATAATGTGTAAAAGTAAACCAACTTTATTAAAAAATTCAACTAATAATTTTTTTGAACGTCGAAGTGAAACCTTGAGATTTGCTTAACGAGGAGATATTATTATGGGAATTATCTCTTTTTATTTACTAAATATAATTCATATGAATGAAATTGGTCTATAATTTTTTTAATTACTTGAAAAAGAGAGATTATTATTATGACAAATATCTTCATGCTTCTATAATGGGAGTTTGATATCGTAAAACTACATCAAATTAATTATAAAACACAAACAACGAATCATTGATAGAGGAAGGAAAATTGTTAATTTAAAAAGAAAAGGTATTTCTGTTCAATGTGACTTTGAGAAAATAAATATAGTATATTAAAAGAACCACTTGTGCTCTGACCGGATTCTTGGTTTCATGTAGTTCAGTCTATTGCAATCACCCATCCACTAGTATCTTGCGGATTCCATCTAATTATATGCACGTTGTTCTATTTTACTTGAGATATAGCCCTTCCCTAATGCTTGTCTCTTTGATCGGCTCTTACTTCTGGCTCAGTGAAAAATCCTTTGCTAACAAAAGTGAATATTTTTTCATGGCCTGAATCATAAAACTTGTATTGATATATGCTTTTATCAAGTTCTCGGCTTCCAAAATGATATTATTTTGCAGCAACAATCAACATCCTTCTCTCTCGATCATTTCTTATTCTTCTTTAATTTATATCCTCCTTGAAACTTACTCATCAACCATTCCCTAAAGTCATCCATTGAGCTGTACGTTTCCAGCATTTTGTGAAGCGTAGAAAATAATACAACTTATTACACATTTTAATAACATATAAATTACACATATTTCTTTTAATGCATGGTATAAACTGATAACAATCATACTACTGATAATTGATAACTTACAAATAATAACTTGTAATTTATAAAGATGATGTTATGTGATATATAATTGATTATGTTATGTGATGAATAATTGATTTCTAAAATTAATTAATGAGATTGATTTTAATCAAAATTGAAAAATAGAATTGAAAACTGAGAATTAGATAAAATTGTGGTTTTGTAAAAATATATTTAAACTCCAAACATCCTGTTACATATTAAAATTAACTATGAAACCAAAATCATGTTTTTGTAAATATATCCAAACATTCATTATACATACCAAAATTAATTATGAAACTAAAATCATGATTTTTTTAAAAAATATTTAAACCACCATACACATGTAAAAATCAATTAACAACCCAAAACTACAGCTATCTCATAAGTTATTGTTACCTACTTTTTAATTATACATTTTTAAAAAAATATATATATATATATATATATATTATTTTATAGATCATATTTTTGAATTTATAATTGATTTTGACATGCATATAAATGTTTGGATATTTTTAAAAAAATTATAATTTTTAAATTCGTAACTGATTTTAGCAAGTTTAATAGGTGTTTGAATTTTTTTAAAAAAATATAATTTTAGATTTATAATTAGTTTTAATATATAATAGAGATGTTTGGATATATTTTTATAAAATTATAATTTTGACATCTAAAATTAATTTCAAATAGTATCCAAACATGCACCTGGTTGTTGCCTCAACGAGTTGTCCATGGATTAGGGTTTTTGGTGGCCAATGAGAATGAGCCTTCGAAACTAACATGGCGTGATAGGACTTCTCAAATTTCGTTTTTTACCTTCTTTTGTTTAATTTATCAAAAAATAAATATATAATATGCATCATTTTTATTTTTTATTTTGTGGCCGTCGTACACACTCAATTTATTTAAATAATAACAAAAAAGAGATCTGGCAGAGTCACTGCTTGGAAGTATTAAAAGTTTGTACAGAAAACCCCACACATAAAAAGATAATGAATTTAAGAAATTAATAAATAAATATTATTTTACATTAATTAAATTTATATAACTAATGTACTTCATTCAATCGAATATATAATTCACTTCTGACTATTTTATTAAAATTAAAGAGAGATAGTTAAATTATTGATATTTAATTAAGATTAAGAAAGTATAATTAAATTATTAATGTTGTCTAAAATTTTTTTTCTCGTTTTATTTTTATTAAATGCAAGATATTTAAAAATATTTTTCTCTTATACATAACTTTTACCATACTCTTTAAATCAAAACTTTTACTACATTTTATTGTAAAATTCTATCAAATTTTATATGGATATAAATAATATAATATAATATAATATAAGTAAAGGATTATTTTTATTCTTTAACGATAAGTTACAAATGATAATTTAAGATTAATTTTATTTTTTAATATTAAAAAACTCGCTGGTCATGTTCCTGTTATTAAGTTTCCACGTTTAAATTTTTTAATATTTTTTATTATAAAATATTATAAAGTGAGTGCCACCGTTATATATATATATATATATATATTATAATATAAAAATCTCTCCCTTCCCTCCATTCATCTCTCTCTACGTCCTTGTCTCTCCTTCATCATGCTATATGTGCTCCCCGTCCCTCTGCATCTCTGTCTTTCATCATTGAGCGGCTTCTTCATGTTGTACGTGTTGCTTACCATTGCTAGTAATCCCATGCACAAACATGGCACTGGTTCAAGTGTTTTAGTCATATCTGCTAGCTATTATAGACACAAAAATGTAGGTTCATATTCAAAGGCAAAAGTGCAAATCCTAAGGAGATCCTTCATTGTTGCATGCATAACTTGATGGAAAGCACCACAAAAGGCAAGCTCAATCACAAGATTTTCCCAGCATCTGAACCTGCAACAACTTTTTGGCACCCACCTCCCCCAACTGTGATGAAAATAGATGTTGATAGTTCGATTCGAAGACACCTTAAAGCGACTTGTAGAGGAGTCATTCGAAACAATAAGGGAGAGTGGATACTAGGTTTCGAGAAGAATTTAGAATCCTATTCCTAACAGCTGCGAAAATTCTTGCTATCAAGACTGGGTTAGAAGTTGATAAACTTTACAATTTTAAAAAAATTCAACTGTTTACTAACTCATTAGAAACCCTCAACTGTCTTTGAAGAAAATATGATCCTGACCAACCATTGCGAATGGAAATTATTGAAGCTAGCGAGCTTCTCTTCCATAATTGAAAAATTGAGATCTTCCATTGTTCGCAAGAGGCCTAAGATGTGCTGACATCATTGCTAAAAATGCACATGATGATGTTTTCAATACAATTGTCATTCCCACAATTCCTGATTATTGCGTGGGAATGTTTCAAAGTGATTTACAACATGTGGCAGCTGTTTAGGCTTAGCCTTTCTGTTCAGTGTTTTCTGTTTTTTCCTTGTACTTCCAAGCTTTTGGTTGCCTTCTTGATAAAAAAAAAAAAAAATTAATCCCATGCACGCAGCAGCACTGACGTGGTGGCGATCAGAGTCAATCCCATGATCGTGTTAATCAACAATTGAACCCCATGAAGATGAAGCCGACGTAGCGAGGAAGTTGGTGATCGATGCAACTGAACTCTCTGGGAACCGGCATGGAAGTTAATGAGTTGAGTCCTTGAACTGGCTGTGGACGCAAGAGAGAGAGATGGAGAGAACTGGTTCAGTAAGGAGTGAGGGAGAGAGGAAGTGAATGGAGGAGAGAGAAAGTGGTTGTGCAAAGCTTCACAGTAGCAAACCATCAAATTCCACACTAATTGCCACAACAACTCAAAGCCCCATAACAGACAAAAGCAAGCAAATGCATCCCTCCAGAGTCACGTGATTAGTACCATTCATTTTGTATTCTTGATAGGTCCTATAATACGTGTCTATCATTGTATTGCTCAAACCTCACTACAAATAAGACAACTACTGTACAGGTCATGTGTGGTGGAATAATATACAACTATTCATCCTCCTGCGTCCATGCTCTGTTATTTCACTGCATTTCTGCTCTGTTCAACCAGCGAGTTGAGCATCTCCTATCCTCCTCGGTTCTTCATCATCGGCCATCTCCCTCGTCCTTGTTAGGCCTGATATAAGATCTCCAATGAGCCTTGATGAGCTGCATAGTTTCTTCATTCCCTCTCTTCCTTCACTTCCTATCTCTCTTCCCATCAATAACAACTGCGGCTACTCCTTCTCGATCCTAACCTAACTCCCTCAACTAAGACTCCTGCGTATATGATTCATTCTCTATGACAAGTGGGGTTGCAGCGATGATAGAGGAGAAGTTGGTGAAGAAGAAGAAGAGACTGTGCAAGAATTGTAGTTCGCCTTCGTCACCTCCGCCACATCATGTGCGTTTTTATGGAAGTTGAACACTGCACATATCGTACAAATCTCTAACGGTGTAAGTTACAGAGAGGAAGGAGATAGGGCTAAAGCTGTTGCTGGTGAAGGAACTTTCGAAGGTGCGAGGGATTTAATCAGAGAGAGGGAGAGGGAGAGGGGGGAGAGGAGAGAGGGAGAGGGGAGGGAGAGGAAAGAAAATATTAAAAAAATTAATGGAACCCACTTAAATATTTTATGATAAAAATATTAAAATTTCAATTGTAGGTTCCATTAAAGGAGAAAATGAACGGCAGAAATTGTAGGATGATGGAATAAAAAAATTTTAAGATTAAAAGATAAAATTGATCTTAAATTAAATTTAAAATCATTTATAACTTTTTAAGTGTAGTTAAGAGTTAAAAATAAATTTTAACCATAATTAATAATTAATAATATATTGATAATAATATTTTTAAAGAAATTCATACAAATAAATATGATGACATGGCAGAAAAAAGGGGAGGAGGGTCTCTTCTTTTCCTTTCCTTTTTTTTTTTTCACTTCCCAAATTTTTAACGTTTGTTATTATTTTATTAAAAAAATTTTTAGAATTATAGAATGAATGAAAGATAAAGATTAGAAAAAAGAGAGACTCCTCTCTCCGAAGAAGGAGTTGCGTGAGCGATAGAGGCTACAGGGAAGTAGTGAGATATTTTAATTTCAGCGTTGGTGAAAATTTAGTTGACAGACGTCTACCAATCTTTCAATAACAAATTTTGTGAATTTGAAGGCGTCCTGTAAGTAAATTTGAGATTTGATTTGTCTAAATTTTGTTAGGTTAAAAATTTTTTTTATCTCTCTCAACTGTATATAAAAAAATATTAATATTTTTAAATTTAATTATAAATTAACTTTATTTTTAAACTTTAAACATTTTCTTCATCTTTATCCTAATATTAAAAATATTTAATGTTCATTAATTATCAGTGAATTTTATTATTTTCTAATATTTTTTAAAGATCATTTTTATCCTTTATCATTTTTATTTTTTAATTTAAATATTTTATAATAAAAAATATTAAAAATATATAATATGAGATTCATAAATAGACAATTAATAATAAAAAAATGACATGACAATGGAAAAGAAAATCTTTAAAATTGAACGTCGATGATTAAGGTTAGGACTTAGGAGTAATTGAACTTGTAATCCTCTGTATACATCCTCTTTTTTTCAATAGAAAAAAGAGAAGGAATACGCGGCACTTCCGGAGGCTTCGGAGATTATCGTTGGCGGATAAGTTTTACGACAAGTGTCCCTCCGCTTTCTCCATACTGCTCCGTGCCTCCAGAACTTTCCCTCTCTCTCTCCCCAACTATCATCTGATGCTTATCTTCCTTCCTTTATATGCCCTCACTTCTTAGAATCTTCACTGGTCAGTGATCACTTCAACAAGCCGTTTATCTCTGCTTTTCGGATTCTCACTGCTTCTACTGTCTGTATCAACTGCCGTTATGTTCTTCCGTCCTTGATTTGTCAACAATCATGGCTTCTTCATCCACGGTGAGTTGATAATCTCAGGTTCCTACCTCTCATATTCTGCCTTTTTAACCCCTTAAAATTCATATTTTGTATGTTTTGGTGCAGATGGGTTGGGGAAAGGCACTTTTGAACAGGGGAATTCGACGATTGACGACATCAACCACGCCGAAGATGAAAGCATACGCTCCGGCGGCTGATTATGGCTACGCTGGTCACCGGCAACCCGAGAGGAAACAGATGAAGGGGGACTTCGTGGCGGTGTACGTGGCGGTGGGGATGATAGCGTTGTCGACGGGGCTCGGGCTGCACACGGCGTGGCATCAGCTGAGGACTTCGCCGACGGTGAGGGTGAAGAAGCAGAGGAGGGAGACGCTGCCGGAGGTGGTGGAGCCGGAGCACGTGGCGGAGGAGACCGACAAGTTCATCAAGGGATCGTTCTTTAGGAAAGTAGCACACGTTCAGGATAAGAACAACCCTGCGAAGCATGTCATACCTGATCCTATCCGCAGCGATGCTTTCGCCTCTCCAGCTAAAATTGAAACTCTCAAATCTGTTGGCGTTGATCCTTCTCAAGTTCCCTAGTGTTTTTTGATATGCAAAATGATGAAGTCGTATGTACATATATAAAAACTAGAAGGAAAAAAAGAGTCAGCTAGCTGTTCTTCTATTTGGCTTTTACACTTTTAGGTGTGACAGGGTATGATATATGAATAGCAGCTCAAAGGTTCTGTTGTGTTAAGGTTTTTTCTTACTGTTTCCTGCGCCATAAACACAAAGCAATGTAATTATGCTCTGCACACACACTTTCGTTAAGATAAGCAAACTGCCAAAGACTATGTTCCGCTGCATCAATTTAGATTCATGCCGCATTTTCGATGAGAGGTGGGATAGAGAGTAAAAGCTAAACTGTAATGTTCTGTACGATACTGTTTGAGTTTATGGAGTGAAATTGGAGGATTTGGATTTTGTAAGTGGTATCTATCGTAGTGTTGAAGGCATGTTTTATATTTTGGGCTTGTTTTGAATTTGTGGAGGAAAGTATATCTGGATCTCTTTCGTTAAATCTAATTATAATTGTGACTTTCACTTAGTGGGCGGATTGGATCACGCATCAGATTTAAATCCGAAATTGGAACAGAGTTGAAAATTTTTGAACGAAACTTGGATTGTGAGTTGGCTGTACTCTTCATGTGTTTTGCAACAAATTAATTATATTTTTAACGATAGATTGTGAAAGCTATTCTTTACGACCCAAAATGACCCACATTGTAGTTTACATACAATGTAGATGGAATAGTTAGCATATTTTGGTTCGGATCTTTAGAGGTGAAGTTTCAGAGACAAGAATTCGTCAGAACTATGGCTAAACTAGGGGCGGAGTGGCACGTCACGTGAGCTTTGGATCGATTGTTTTCATGGGGAGGCTGCGAGCTTTGATGATTACGCCAGATAAGAGTCACAAGAATTCCCCCGAATATGAGACGCGAAAAATTGGGTGATCAATGTCTCAACTTGCGAGGGTAACTTCATAAATGCTAAGTACTTTTTTCTGTATTACAGGAAAAACTGGTTTTTTTTTTTGCGTATTTTTTCTTTATAAGTAATTTATATCAATTTCATTAAATATAAAGAATAAAAATACATAGAATTTTAAATATGTCTAAAAATAATGTCATATTATTTTTTTATCAAGGATAATTTTTTAAAATATTATTTAAAAAATCCCACCATAACCTATAAAATGATTAAATTAATTTTTTAAAATATGAATTTATAAATGAAACTGGTGGAAGAAGTAATAATCTTTTGGAGACAACTAGACAGCTTCACTGAAATTGCTCAGGCTTTTAGATATTTCCAATTCCAATGCCGTTGCTGGACCAGGGTCGCGCCAGGGTCCTACTTGAAGCGGAGGAATCTAAGATGAATGAATATGAATTTGTTAGTTTCTTTGAAAGTAGCTTCAATTGGTTGAGAACAACATAGAAAAATGATTCCTTGATGCGTCTTGGAATTAACTTGCCGATATCAATGGAAAATATAAGTCAAACCAGAAAACTCTGTTTCTGTGTAGTGTTCTGTTTCTCCTTCTCCAAATCATTTTGGGAACCCAAGGTCTTCTGAGCTCTCTCCCTCAACAGCGAGCTTTTCTCTTTGGAACGAGCTCTTGATGGGTGCGAGTTCAGAAGATGTTTGGTTTTTCAGAATTCATGTAAGATGTTAAATCACACACAGTAGATACAAGTGGATCCATAGTTCTGCTGCTGCTTGTTCTAGCCCCTTCCCTTGTTCAGTTCTCACCTAAGAAGCACGGATACAGGTATGATTATCGGATGCAATATGATACACAGATACAACAATTTTTAAAAATTTTAGACTACAAATATGACTATATAAATAATTAAATATTAAATATTTAGATGTCTAAAAGTATAATTTCAAGATGTCCAATGCTATCATAAAATATAATACAATAAGTAGTTAAGCATTTAAGCATTACCAAATGACAAAATATAATAATCAACCTAAATTAATTCTAATTTTCTTCATCTTCATTGACACCACTACTTTCTCTTAAAAGTTCTCTCTTCAAAGTTAGCTTATCTAAAGATAAACTTACAACTTCAAGACTTTTAATATTATCTATTTCCCAACGATCTTCAATAATATCCTATAATTTATTTTCTTTTGTGGAATACTTCTCACTCTTTCTTGAAAGAAGGTGAAGATTTGAATGAATTAAAAACTAAGTTTTTTACTCTTTTTGGAAACATCTTTTTTCTCTTTAGTGAATGAACGAAAGAGTAAGTCCTCTAATTTCTTTCACAACAAGATGGTGCATATGATTGATCAAGAAGTTTTAATGTAATCTTTTGAAGTTTAGGAACATCAGTATCATGATTACTCCACCAAACTTTAGGTTCTAATATGCATCTATCTTGTAAGGAATTAATAAAAGAGAACTCATTTGAATATCCAGAAAACTTTAAAAACTCATTCATAGCCAATTTCCTTTCTTCTTCATCTAGAAACATCCTTCTAAGATACCTTTTTCTCTCAGTTGATATTTCAACATCTCTATATAGAGAGACTTTATTTGGTATACTTTCAAATTATTGTGTTGTATAATACCTATAATAATATAATAACGCCAATAAGAGTTGTGTAAAAGTGATAAAGAAAAGAATTTCATGAACATAAACAAGAATAACACACCTATGATTCAATGAGTGGGCAAGACAATGAAGTGGAGTGGAATTTTGTCTAACAATCAATGATGATGTTGTAAACAACTTTATAAAATGAAGAATACTCAGAAAATAATTTTCTCTCATGCTTATAAATTAATTCCTTGACTTATTCTATCATTGAATTCTATATTTTATAAATTAAATAAAGTGTGGGTCTATCTGTGTTAGCAAACCTCAACATATCATAAATTGATTTAGTGAAAGAGAGAATATCATCAACTTTCTCCCACTAAAAATCATTAAGAATTATGTCTTTAACTGTAGCAGCTTTTTCAACATCATCATCTTCATAAGCACTCCATTGTTCACTGATAACTAGTGTACGAAGAGAAGTTTTGATAAGTATGAATCTCTTTAACATCACAATTGTTGATGCAAATCTTGTTTCGATAATGGCAAACAATTTTAATGGCACGAATTCATTAAACATGGCCAATTTCATAGAATGATTCATGATAAATGTTTAGATGAAGATTGCATCATCCCTCACCTCAGTGATCCAACGACATTCTCCATGAATAATTTCATTTGCCTCTGTATTTTTTTTCTACACACATATTTTTAAGGTAAGATTAAGTGTATGCACAACACATGATATCTAAAAGATGTGAGGATACTCATCTTCTATCATCTTACCTATAGATTTATAAATAGGTGTATTATCAGTGATTATTTAGACAACACTACAAGGCACCACTTCTTCAACTACTTTTTTTTAATTAAGTCAGCCATATAAAATCTATCTTATGCTCACTAGTTGCATCAATTGCCTTCAAAAACATGAAACTTCCACCAGTTACAGTCATAATATTAATTAATGGCCTTCTTTACACATCCGTCCAATCATACGTAACTATACATGCCCCTTTATGATTCCAAGTCCCTTCAATTAGTTCAAATAACCGTTCAGCATTGGCCCTTTCTTTTTACAACAAAGTGGATCTTAGTGCTTTATAACCAGGAGGTTTAAAACCAGAAATATAATTGGTGGCAGTATATTGAAATGCACCAATAAAAGATGGGTTGTGTGCCAAATTGGAAGACAAGCCAGTCAAATAGAACATTCTAGCAATTTTAGCTGTTAAATTCTCTCTAGCTCCTTGTTGGAAAGATCTTTTTATTATGTTTTATTGCCCTCTTTTTTCCTTGATTATGTTCACTTTGAATAGGAGTAGCACCCCTTTGACATAAAGGGGACAAACTCAAGCTCTCAATTAGAGTTGGCAATGGCATTTGTTTTGATTTTGTTCAATTCTCAATCTCTTCTTAAGCTTTTTGCATTTCACTTAAATAGCTATCATCAACTTTTAGACATATATCAATACTCTTTTTCAGATATCCCTAACAAATGAAATTTAATTCTAGAATAAGAGCCATTATATCAGTTATTACAATAGTTACATTTCCACATTCTACTCCCACCTTCTCTTTCATTTTCTTGAGGTACTAAAATCATATAAGCCCACAAAAGAGTACTCTCTATCTGACTTTCATTACTAGATTGAAATTGAGAATTCACACTTCTTGAACTTTACCAAGTGTAGAATTAAAAGTCATTACAGATTTAATTTATATTAAAAAATTGTAAACAATTTTTATCAATTTTAATATTAGAGAGTTAATAAAAATTTAAAACAAATTAATGTTTAACTAAGCAAAATAGTCCATCAAAATAAAAAAAATTAAATCAATAACTCAACAAATTAAATCAGCTAATGAGTCAAGAGCTTAAAACATATTTTTTAATAGCCAGTCAGTTAGCATTCACTTCAGATTTCAACCTGGTCCAACCCTTTTCATATCCTTATTAACTCCATTGCTCATATTCTCACCTAATCCCTCCCCCTCACCGTTAATTAATCTGATCCAACCTCTCTTCCTGACTTCATCCTCCCATCGCCTTCCTCTCCATCTTTCTACTGCTAGCAGCTTCTTCATTCCATGTCTCATTTTCTTATAATTAATATTCGGCAATACCTAGAAGTCCAAAATAATCACAGGCTTGGAGAAGAAGATTTACTTACCTCAAATGAGGCAAAGCAACAAAATCAGAGTGAAGCGAAGCACCGTGAGTCATGATTGAAGCGAGTAGCTCGGACCTCAGAGTGAAGACAGAGCTTAGACCCATGATTGAAGAAGTGCCAGAGTGATTCAAACAGAGCTCATGAGTCTGGAGATTGAAGAAGGACGACGAGGGAGAGATAGAGTGAAGCTAAAGGGGAAAGGCTCGACTCGATTGGTTCTGCGAATTAGGGCATCTAATTTTTGGAAATGAGAAAAAAAATGCCAAAACGTTGAGTTTCAGATACCGCTTGTCTCCGCTTATCTCAGCTCGTGTCCCCCTAAAACTACGAAATTCGATGCGCCACTTTCACATCCTGAACATGTGTCCGTGTTGAATAGGTATCAGACACGAACAAGGCAGGATATTGCACATGTCCGTGCTTTTGAGATTCTCACCTGAAGTCGAGTGAGTGGCAATTTTTTTTAAACCATTTGACTTTACTTGTTTAGTTTTCATTGTTGATAATTTAAAGAATTTTTTATTTGTTTCAAGTATTTCATTTTAATGAATCTCACAATTTTTTAAAAGGTTAAATCATGCAGCTTTTTTTGGGGGAAAAACTTGTGATATACATAATTTTGTTATCTTCAAAACTTGGTAGTTAATATATAATAATGAATTTCCATGCGCTTTCAAATTTATAGGAATGGTATTTATTTATCATTAGCTGTCCCTTCGACCTCGATAAAATTGGAACGATTTATTTATCATTAGTTGATTTGTGATTTTGCTAGCAGTGCAATGCACGAACAATAATAAGTAGTTTTAATTATTAATCACTTTTTAAATAGGTTAGGTTAGGTGTATATAATTCTTCTAAGTTTAAGCATAATTTTTTTTTTTGCCAGCATAAGTTTAAGCATAGATAACTCTTAAAATATTATACTTTTATGTATATAACATGTTATTACTAATATAATCAAAGTTAAAAACCAATCAAGTTGACATGAGAGGTAAGGTCTTTTTTTCCTTAAACAAATAATTGCAGGTTTACTTTTAAATTTTTTGCCTTGATTTTTTTTTCGAGGGTAAACAAGATGGGCAAAGCTGGATGTGCAATACCTATTGGGGTGAAAGCACAACTTTTGTTAAGAAAGTAGGGGTGTTCACGAGACGGGACGAGATCGGGACACCCCTATCCTGTGTCTCGTTTCAAAAAAAGATCAGGACTGAATTTTGATCCTGTGTTTCATCCTGTCCCGAAAGTCATCCCATCTTATTAAAAGTAGGGACGGGACTGAGACAAGATCGAGATGTCTTGCCATCCTGATAAATGAAATAATATCAAAAAAACTAAATAATAATATTCATTAAAATTTTAAATCATATAATTTATTAAGTTTAAAATTAAAACAACACAAGTACATAACTAACAATAATTTAAAATCAATAATTTAAAATCAATTATTGAATTATATATATCACAACTACACATTATAATAACAAATACAAGTGATTTTTATGCTATAAGATTAGCTACAACAGGCAAGTCAAATACAACATCAAATCATTGTTCTTCTACTTTAGTGAAGATGTACTAAGCTAATTACTCTTTTAAAAATAAAGCAAGAAATATGTTATAAATAAAGTTATTAAATAGATAGATATAAGAATAAATTATATTAATATAATTAATATATTATAAAAAAAGATATCGCCATGTTTATTCCATGCCATTAAAATTATGAATATAAAAAACTTTAGTTTTAAATAAGAACTACAAGTATTAAAATTATAATTGATATAAGTATAAATTATATTAATATAATTAATATATTTAAAATAAAAAATAATATAAACAATATTCGGGACGGGACGAGACGTCCTGATAATAATCCCATATCTCATCCCGTCTCGAACCCCTTTCATGTTCCATCTCGTAAAGTCCTGTTCCGATTATTTTCGGGTTGGGACAAGACCCGTCCCGATATAATTAGGACGATATTGGGCCAATCGGGACGGGTCCGGACTAAACACCCTTATAAGAAGGGTTGTGTTTAGTGGAAAATATCATTCTCTTACAATATAATAAATTAATATTTGAATTTTCACTGAAAAATACATCCACATTTAATGTCTAGTTGTGTCACAAATATAATTGTTTCTAATAAAAAAAATACATATGTCCAATTAAAAATGCACAACTTTTCAAGCCATGAGCATAGGGACAAATTGGGAGAATTATATTAAAGTTTTACATAAAAAAATTAATTGTTATAAAGTATTTTAATAATTATTTTTAATTTAGTTATTGATAAATTTTATAATAATTAATTTTTCAATGTAAAATTTGATTGTAATTCCTCCAAAAAAAAAAAATAGAGGCGGCATTCTGTCCAAGTCTTCCAGGCCGAAAAGAGAGTCCAAGTTTTGACAATCACGTTCACCCACGTATAATGAATGCCTAATTATTGTGAGTGATAATATACGGGTCCATGGGCCTTACAGGGAGCCCATTCAAATCCTCTAAGTGCGGAACATAAATTAAAAGTGATGGAAAATATCCAAGGCTTCATATGCAAAGGGCAGTGATCATTGTGATGACGTGTCAAGTTTCTATTGGATAATGTCACGTGGCATGTAAAACCATTGGCTATGACAGCGCGAACTGAGTCTCACTGAGATCTATAAAGTAGAACAGACCGGTAGTACCCTAATGCCTTCATCTTCGAAGTTTGAATTCTAGATCTCTTCCCTTATTAGCACACAGAAAGAGTTTTATCGTAGTTTAGGGTTCCGCTGTAAGTTTACAGTGAAGTAGACGGGGAAATTGAGAGCGATGGGAGAACGGAAACGGATCCCTATGGGGCTCGTTATGATGCTCCTGCTATTTGTTTGCTCTTCTGTTCAGTTACTTTCTGCTTCCGATGATAACGACGATGCGGTAACTGGAGCTCAACTTTATAGTTTCTTTTTTATTTTTCAATCTTTTGAACTTGATCTATTATTCTGAAAGTCTAATTAATGGATTTTTCGTTTAACGTGGTTTAGATTTTCTACGAGTCATTTGATGAGACTTTTGAAGGCCGTTGGATTGTGTCGGAGAAGGAGGAATACAATGGTACGTATCTTCCATCGCTTGCTTTTTTCTAAGTACACCGATTTTTCTTTTGTGGTCGTACGAGGATTGTTGTTAATGTCATCCCAGGCCAAAACATTGCCATCCATTCATAAGGGATGTAATCCGTTTTCAAATCTATTATTCTACATGTTTATTTGATATTGATAACTTACTTTTTCGTAGTTGAAACAAGCTAGGTACGCAACTCGGATCATTGTTTAGTGATATAATACTCATTCAAGTGGTGGTTTAAATTTTAAAATAATTTATCATCCAATTCAGTCTTGTGCCACTAAGTTCGAATCCGAAATACTGTGGAAGTTTGCTGCTGGGTCTTAAGTGTTTGCTTAGAAAATGTTTATAAGGGCAACAGGTCAAAAGCTTTTTCTTGGATACATGTTTTAAATGAAAACGAATGGAAAGTTTCTTAACCTGTGAATTAAAAAAGTTCAGTGTTTAATCTAGAGCTGTATTATTGGGAAAAAGTACGTTTGCTAATGCTGAGGATTTGTTGTGAACCTATGTCGAAGGATGAATTTGTCTGATTAGTATGTTTCAATTATTATACATACGTGAAACAAAAATGTAAATTAATCTTACGGGCTTGATTGCTAGCTCAATAATTGAGAAGGGAAACATTTATGATTTTATTACAAACTAATCTCTCGGTAATTATCATTAGAGTTGCACTTGTGTTCCAAAGGTCCAACCAGCCATTCTATACTGGAATGGGTATATCTCGGAAATTTGTTGGTCTGCTATTTTTTTTTCTTTTATAAATTGTGCTGTGTTATGTTAGGATGCTGTTTTAAGGACTTGTAATCGGATATTGGTTTGGCTAAGTTAATGGCTCTTTGTTTGATTCACCCAATATGGAAATTTATCTTGATTTATATTTCGGGTTTAAAACTTTTAGGTGTCTGGAAGCATTCTGTGAGTGAGGGCCATGAAGATTATGGACTTCTCGTTAGCGAGCAAGCAAGGAAATATGCTATTGTAAAAGAGCTTGACAAGGCTGTGAGTCTCAAGGACGGAACAGTTGCCCTTCAGTTTGAGGCTCGTTTGCAGAATGGCCTTGAATGTGGTGGCGCATATCTCAAGTATCTTCGACCTCAGGAGGCTGGATGGACACCAAAGGGATTTGACAATGAATCTCCTTATTCTATAATGTTCGGTCCTGATAGGTGTGGGGCCACAAACAAGGTTCACTTCATTTTCAAGCACAAGAACCCCAAAAGTGGGGAATATGTCGAACACCATCTCAAGTTTCCCCCTTCTGTCCCATCCGACAAACTAACTCATGTCTACACTGCTGTATTCAAGCCTGACAATCAGTTACAAATTCTGATTGATGGGGAGGAAAAGAAAACGGCTAATTTCTTGTCTTCTGAGGACTTTGAGCCTCCACTTATCCCACCAAAAACTATCCCTGATCCTGAAGACAAGAAACCTGAGGACTGGGATGAGAGAGCTAAGATTCCTGACCCTAATGCAGTTAAGCCAGATGACTGGGATGAGGATGCACCCATGGAAATTGAAGATGAAGAAGCTGAGAAACCTGAAGGGTGGTTGGACGATGAGCCTGAAGAGATCGATGATCCGGAAGCCACTAAACCAGAAGATTGGGATGATGAGGAGGATGGTGAATGGGAGGCGCCAAAGATTGATAACCCTAAGTGTGAAGAGGCTCCTGGATGTGGCGAGTGGAAGAGGCCAATGAAGAGGAACCCAGCTTATAAAGGAAAATGGCACGCCCCTCTTATTGATAACCCCAATTACAAGGGTATATGGAAGCCGAGGGAAATTCCAAATCCTGATTTCTTTGAACTCGAAAAACCTGATTTTGATCCTATTGCTGCAATTGGCATTGAAATCTGGACTATGCAAGATGGCATTCTGTTCGACAACATTTTGATAGCAGACGATGACAAGGTTGCAGAGTCATATCGTGAGACTACATGGAAGCCTAAGTTTAATGCTGAGAAGGAGAAACAGAAGGCCGAAGAGTCGACTGGCAGTGATAGTTCAGGCTTCCAGGTAAACAGCATTTGAAAATTTTAACTTCATTTCTCTCTGTTCTTCTTCTGACCATCACCCCGTTTCTCTCTTTTTCTAGCACCCTCTTTTACGTTCATTCTTACGCATGGAAATTAACTTTTACGTTGCAGAAGAAGATATTCGATCTCTTGTACAAGATTGCAGACATTCCCTTCTTAAGTTCTCACAAGTCTAAGATATATGTAAGTAAAAAAGAAAAACTAGTGTCCATCCATTCGGTACAGTTCTCAGATTAAAATTTGTCTCAACTCTATTCTTCTCTGCAGGAAATCATTGAAAAGGGAGAAAAGCAACCAAATGTGACTGTCGGAGTTCTTGTCGCCGTGGTCGCGGTCTTCTTGACAGTTGTCTTCAAGATCCTATTTGGCGGGAAGAAGAAGCCTGTGAGTTGTGGAACTCCTTTGTCTCTTTTGTGTGTAGGTTTAGTTTAAAAATAAGGTCATTCCTCTGATGAGCCATTTCCTTTTTAATGTAGGCAAAGGCAAAGAAGACGAGTGGCGAACCCACTGAATCGTCGAATGAGCAAAGCAGTGAAGTGAAGGAGGAGAACGAAGAGAAGGAGGAAACATCTGGGGCTCCACGCAGGAGAACAAAGAGAGATGATTGAAATGACTGAATCAGTGATCCCATATCAGCATAACATAAATTTTGAGCTGGGTTGGGTGTTTGGTCCACATTCAGTTGCGCCTTTTCGTTATTATTATGCACAGGGAGAGTAAATCAGACATTCTATTAGGCTTGCTGGTCTTTTTCCTTTCTTTTTTTTTCTTTGTTTTGTTTTGTTCTGGAGAATTGAGTATTTGAGTTACTTGACACTGTACACTTTATTTTCTCTAATGTTTCCAGGTAGAATGGAATATGTGGCATCATTCGCATTGTTAATTTGTCATGCGAAATGGTCTTTTTCTCCTTCTTTGATTGTTTTCGGAGACCTTTATACGCAAGGCTGGGTAGCCTTCGATTTCCGTCGCGGCTCCTTTTGAAGATGAAAAATTGCTAATATCTCTTTTGTTTCCTCGTTTGAAAAAATCTTGAATATTCATGAGAAAAATTTATTTTAATTATATCATTTTAAGATTAAAATATTTTTCGTTAATCTTACAGTCGTTGTTCTGAATTATTATGCGCAAGAGGGGATATTGTTTACGAAGGGCCAAGGTTTCTTGTATACTGACAACCGTATGAGAGGTGAATGAGTTAATGATTTCGTGTTGATTGTGTGGTTCACGATGCAACCATTGATAATCTTGAAATTGAAACTATGATTATAGAAGTTCAGTGCAGGATTCTTTTGAATCATGATGCAACGTGGTTTTTTCCCACCACGGTTCTTCCTGTGACTTTGTATTAAAAATGAGTTGCCGAGATAAATTTAAAGTAGTGTGTTTTTTAATAGTTAATGTTGGTTGTTACTTTGAAAGGAGATTTTTGAATGAGAAACACTTTTGAATATGTTAATTATTAAAAAGGATACAAGTTTTATTTAACACTACACAGCTACTACAACTCTATACACCCCGCGCGCATGCATACAGCTGCTCTAACATTAACATATTTGATCTTTCTATTAAAAAAAAAAAAAAACCTACCGCAGCAGTAACAACCCTTTTCTACATGGATTGCATGACCATATTGTTATAAAAATTTGTCCAATCTCACATGAATAATAGCCCTTCACAGCGAATTAAATATTTCTTTATTATAAATTATAAATATTTAAACTGCATGTCATGTGTAATTTGATTCATTCATAGGAAGATATGGAAAAAAAATATTTGGACTTGGTTTCTCCATTTTCTCCTTAATGCCACTACTACAAATTTGAAACATTTTGATTAAATTTTAATAATATAAATTAATCTGTACTTTTAAAAATTATTAAATCTAAATTGTCATTTAATCTAACAGTTCATATTTTTAGAGTTTCCTTTGTTGCAATGAAGGGAAATCAACTCCACAATATTTTTTATTAAGTTAGTTACCCTCAATTTGGGTCGAAACAAATTTGGGCTATTCGGGCATCTAAAGGTGAAAAAGAATTAAAAAAAGGTTGTTAATGTCACATGTTGTAGTGTGAGGGACATCCGTTGCAGTGCATAGAGGCAATCAAAGTGAACTCGGCCTCATGTGTTGCAGGCTATGTGCACTACAGCGTATGATCAAAATTATACTTAAATCAATTCATGTCTATTCAAAAAATCAAAAGAGAGAAGAGGGAAGAACAAAGAGCACACCCATTGCTCTATTAGGGCATGAACTTCAGGATCATTGATAATATTTTGCAACTTCCTAACATACAAGGTAAGTACATTTTAACTTCCTCATCCCTTTCCTTCCATTTTCATGAAAGGTTAAAGTTAGGGTTTGAGTTAGGAAAGTGATTTTTAGTCCCTATGAGCTATGGATCTGAACCCATTAGCTAATATATATATATAATAAGGTTTGTTTAGAGTACTTATATCTCACATTTATGGTTTTATGAGTTGTTGGTTATTGAAGACTATTAATATCTAAAAATGGTAATAAATATGGTTGTTAGGGTTGTGTTGAAGCCATTAATATTGGTTTAATGGCTCATTTATGTCAATGTGGGTCATTGAAATTTAATAAGCACAATGGATATGAATGAGAGTGGGTTTGTGATTTTGGCAAAAAGGAGAATGTGAAGTTATAATGTTAGAAATTACTCGAAAAGGGGATATTGATTAATGTTCTTATGTTTAGTTGTAGATTACTTAATTTTGGCACTATTCAAGCTAATTTGAAAGCTTGGAAAGTTGTGTTTTGAGCGATAAACCTTTGACATTTTAAATATTTGAGATAACAGGAGGGAAGATCTAGTTTGTGTAGTTGTATGTTAATTAATTATTTGTTAAATGAGATTGCTTAGAACTTGTTGGGTGTTTGAAAACTCTTTGATGCAAATTTTAGCTATGTGATGATTATGTATGTGAAATTGTGCTGAGTTGTTGGAATAATAATATTCATATTTATTCATATGACTAATGATGATGACTTGAAAACATGATATTATGAAAATGAAAAATATGATATATTTAACATGTGGAGTATGTTGGAGAGAGAAAATTGTGTGAATATTATATGAGCTTATGAATTGTGTTAAAATAACATATTAAGTGTCAATATGTGCATAATATGATCATTGACAAGAGTTTTGCCAAGGGAGAGGAATAAATTGATAAATTCACGTGATAATGGAAGCTTACTATTGGAATTAGAAGCTTGCTCGGTATTGGCCATTGGAATTGAAAGGTAACCAATGTCCTATGGTTGACTTAAAATTGTCCCATTTACTCTTTAAGGAACTTGAACCTAACTAGCCTCGACTATTTCATAAAGGGGGCTAGATTAAGAGTACAATACCCCATAATTGTTAATATTGGGGGAAACTATATTACCCAAATGAGTGAGTTAACCTTGGTCCGGTAGCTCCTTATAAGTGAATGGTTAAGTTAGTTTGAGTTGTGGATGTAATCACTTAATAGTTATCGGTTTTATGTCGGAAGTATCAGAGAGTATAAAGTTGGCATCAATCATGCATTTATGATTTCAGCCACATAGATGTTATTATTGTGGTTCGGTATGTCTTTAAAGGACTCATAGTTGTTATTTTTGTGATCCCAAAATGTATAATTGTGATGTATCAAATGATATTTATTGTGTAAGATTCTAAGTTTTCTCAGTAGTAATTATCAGTATTTTCAAAGGTAATTTAGTCAATTTAGATAAATTATTATTTAGCAAGGTTTATGGAAACTAATATAATTTTTGGATTCTTAGACAACCTTAAAAAAGAGTTAGGTCGAGGTTCAAGCGGGCCATGACATAGAAGGAAGTGTAAAATTTCGTGGGGCTTTCTGTGCTATGTGCCACAGCGGGCATGACGACACGCCATGACGCATGCACAAAATTAGCACTTATTAATTCGCGAAAATAGATCGAAAACAGAAGAGATAAAGAGAGAAATCGAGAGAGCAATGGAGAAAAGCTTTTGGTCTGTTAGGGCACAATCTCTAGGCTACTTTGAGGGCATTTAGAGCTTGAATCACTATTGGATAAGTTGTACATTCCCTCTTCTCCCTCTTTTATGCAAAAATCTGAACATTTAGAGTAATGGGGGCCTGGATTTCAGTTCTCTTGGGTTTAGATTGAACCCATTAGTTTATTTAAGATCTTGGAGAGTTAAATCAAACTTCTAACCTTAAGTTTATGAGTTTTGTGGTGATTGAAAATTTTTGATAAGGGTTTGGACGAACCCTAAGTATAATTTAAAGATTTTAAGATAATGTGGGATGTTGATCAATGAAGTTGGTGTGTTAGAATATTTAATAGGATGGTTAGAGTATATGAAAATGGTTGGTACTGTTAGAAAAGAAATTTGGGTATTTTAAGCATTTAGAACCCAGTGAATTCGAAATTATCCGAAATGACAATTGACGATTGTCACTTATTGACATAGATTGAGCTTTGCTCGTGCCATATTGTGCATATAGAACGTGTAGAGCTAATGTAGAAGTAATTTTAAATGATAAAGTTGTAGTTTTGAAGAGTTTCGTACATAATTTGACATTGTAAATTATTTTTGCATGAAAAAATATTTTGTAAATGGTTAATATTTTTAATTGAAATGTATATACTATTTATATAAGTACGATGTGAAAATGTGATGAAAAGTAGTGGAAATTGTGAAGGAGAATAATCACAGGGGGTGGGAGTTTACCTGAGATATGTGGGAATTTGTGTGTGGAGATATATAAGTGAAAAATCCATATGATCGGGTTGATATCATGGGACATCCGGTGCAGCATTATATGAAACTGTTACCATGAAATATCCGAGCAGTCTGGCAACTTCCTAGTACACATTAGGGTGCGGTTAGGAGTCAACAATGCCTCTATCATAAGTGTGTGAAGAGGAAAAAAACCATAGTTCGTAGATGGGGTTATATTACCTTTGGCCGGATATTTCTACCACCGAAAGTGTGCTCAGGTCAACAAGTGGTTGAACCAGGAAAGCCCATGGTTTCATGTCGGGGAGCATTGGAGGTTTGATGATTAGATGATCATGCTAGTGTAAAACCATTTTTATTGAGAAAATATACGCTTATCTCGTAATTATGGTATGCTTGTTATCACTATAGTTTTGATACTTTTTCATGATTATTTGTGGTAATAAACATTTGATGAGCTATATTGGTTATTGAGATGTTTATCTCATCCCATGGTTATATTTTACAGGTGAAGGCTCCAGTAAGGGCAAGGGAAAGGAAGGGGTATTTGAAGAGTGAGGAGCATCATTGTATAACTCTTCCCTTTTCTCTTTTTGTGTATTGTAACGAATATTGTCACAAAATATTGCCAACTTAGGAACATGACATTATTTGGATGTCACTTATATAAATTTATGATAAGTATGTATATGAGTATATCTTGGTCCAAGAATGATGTTATCGATTAATTGTATGCTTGGCCAAATTGCTTACAAGTGATATATATATATATATATACATGTTTCAAGTGTTTTGAGTGTCAAAATGATCAATTAATTGATGTGTTGAATTTTGTCCATCCCGTTGAGTTATTGTCTAATAGGAGTTTGATGGTCATTTTAAACGTGATTGCTTAATTGTGTGATATGAATGGATTGTTATGTGGTGTGTGGTCTATTTGAGGTGGTCAAAATGTTTCTGGGGTTAATGGCATTGTGTATTATGAGTTGGACACCATAGTATATATTTTATTGTGAAAACAAATCATTTTGAATTTGGGTGTTCATCTATTAAAAGAATGATTGTTTGAGTGTGAGATTGGTGCCATTAGCTAGAGGGCTCAAGGAGTTTCATGTGGACACTTGAACCGCTC